GGAGCGGCACTTTGCACGCAGCGCTTTGAGCACCTTCAGTTGCAGGGCTCGTGGCAGGCGCAGCACTTTGCGCACTGAAACTGCAGATTTCATGGCAGGCGCAGCACTTCGTGAACCTCGAAGCGCAGATTGCGTGAACCTCTGTCTATAAGCGCAGACTTCGTGGCAAACACAGCGATTGCGAACCTTGAAGTGCAGTTTGCGTGGCGTTTGCAAAATTCTGTGGATCTCAAGACCTGTGAAAAGAGCTGTCTTGATATCTCTGGATCTGAACATCTTTCTACACCCTCTGCAAGTCTAGACCCCTAGAACTTAGATTTCAACGCCTCCCTGGATCTCAAGATGCCAGACCTCTAAACCTCCATCTTTAGGCCTGTGGGTTTCTAGACCTCTACACCTGCAGATCCGTCTGGATCTCCAGGCCTCTGGATTTTTGTAGATGTAGATCTCTCTGCATCTCAACCGTGATCTCTCTGAATTTCATGATGGCTCACAAAACCACAAGACCTGTGTATGGCTCACAAAAGGTCTGCTATGTTGGAATGGCACCTTCCTCCTCTAAAGTTTGCGCTGACAACAGGTCTGCTCCTGTAAGTTTTGCCCTCACATGGGTCACAAAAGGTCTACTGCTCCTCTAAATTTTGCTCACAAAAGGTCTGCTACCTTGGCGTGGCACCTAAAGTTTATCTCCGGGTGGCTCAGGAATAGCAAGTTCTACCCTCGGGCTGCTCACGAAACAAAGGCCTGCTACGTTGGAATGGCAGCTTCTTCCTCTAAGTTTTAACCTCGCAAGCTAACAAAAGGCCTGCAACGTTGGAATGGCTCCTTCCTCTTCAACATGTTGCCCTCAGGTGGCTCACAAAAGGTGTGCCACCTTGGAATGGCACTTTCTAATGAAATGGATAAGGGTTCCGGGATATCAGTGAACAACCACCACAACCGATTTAGGGGTAGTGTGGATGAAAGATACCCGATGGTATGAAGAACCCTCAGGTGTGTTGGCACACGACGGGGGACCCCGGAAGGCTTAGTCCCCGTAGTGGGCAGGGGTGCCGGCGTGCGAACGAAGTGAGCTCGGTACGGCAAACGACGAAGGCACGAAAGCGAAAGCGGCGGTGGTCGAAAACGATCGACGTGCGCGAGCTGAAAAGCGCAGCGGCGTGCACTTTTCTTGAGCCATAATGGGCGTCGAGTGAGACGAAGTTCACGAACGACGACCTAGACTGTACATGTGAACCTGCATGACAAGTTAGGGGTAAATCATGGTTCACAAAATTCGACTCCCCCCTCGCCGATTTGGCGTGCCATGGGTTCTATGTACAGGTATTAATTACCGCGCATTGAGCAGCGGTTTCGACAACTACATCGGCTCCTATCGAAAAGCTTCGATCCCTGAGGGATGGCCTTGGCTCGCGTATGTCAGTACGTATGCCTAGGAGGCATAAAGCCTTGTACCACTTTTGTGGTGGTAGTGCTTTAGTAAAGATGTCGGCGGCCTGTTCGTTGGTGTCGATGTATTGCACATTGATGCATGGGTCATCGAGACACTCTTTTAGGGACGAGAGGTTAATCTTGTGCGTGCGGCCGATATGTCGAAGTTTGGGGGAATACCCCTTACGAACGACTATAATGGTGGCTTGGTTGTCCTCGTGGATAACTAGGTCCACCGGCCTCTGCAAGAGCTTCTCCCAGAGCTGGAGGGCAGGTATGCCCTCCTGGTACAAAGAGTGTGCCAAACTTACCACTTCTGATTCCGTGGTGGAGCGTGAAGTGGATGTCTGTCTTTTCGAGATCCACGCAAGTGGGAAAAAGGTGTTGGGACCTTTTAGTGTTAGGAAGCCGCCTGAGGTTGACTTCACGTCACCGGAATCGCCTCCGAAATCCGCGTCGACGTACAGCTCAAGCCTGAGATCCTTCGGATCGTCTTGGCAAGATGCGGTTAGTCTGTAGTCTAACGAGTATTGGAGGTATTGGATTAGCCTTAGTAACTTCTTATCGTGCACTCGGGTCCAGGCTTGGACCTTAGTTGCTAAGTCGTTAATGGGCTTAAGGATATCCGGTCTAGACAGGCGGGCCAACCAAAGGGCCTTCATTAGTATTGAACATGCTTTGGGGGCGAGTTCTCCTGGAGAGTCCTCGTCCTCTTTTGACCATGTTCCGTCAGGGATGAAGGGAGTTTGTGCAGACTTGATTTTGTCGACTTTAGCTACGCTTTTATAAAGGGTCTATGGTCTGTTGGGCATAGTCCTTCATATCGAAAATCAATGCATCTGGGGCCGCGCCTAAAGCAGCGTTCTCTTCACCCTGAACTTTATCGAAACTGGCGTAAACATGATTTCTTCCGAGGATCCTGTAGATGGTTTCGGGAGGCTCTACGTTGACTTCTGACATTAATTGCTTCCAGAACGGAGCGTGATGCTCGGATGGTCCGGATAATGTCAAGTCGTCTACATACGTAGATAGCATGAGGCCCGTTCCTTTGAAATAAAAATTTCCGGGGTACTCAGGAATCTCCTCACCGTTCATCTTCTTCAAAATCCCCTTTAGGTGGTTTTCCCACATTCCGCCTGCATCGGGGTGTCCATACAGCGCTCTCACAAGGAGTACAACTGGGCGGGTGAATTTTCCCTCCACCACTCCGGACGGAGTTCTGGTGGTAGCTCGATCCACGTTTTATACTTACTCTTGAGAAAGGCTTGGACGTACGCTTTCACGGCATCTGCCGCCGTGCACGCGTGTCCCGGCAGAGAGCCGTAGGCTAGGCAGGCGTTTAAGCCCTGCACGGATGTTGGGTTTGCACCCAACTCCTCGTAGACGGCAGCGACGCCGTTCTCGTCGCGTGCACAATCGCCGCGGTATACTATTCGCCCCTTCATTTTGTGAAGGTGTTCAGCTAATTCCCAAAACTTAATAGAGGCGATAGTCATTAGGCGGCCAAAGTGTACGGACACTTTGCTAGCCTTTGCTTCAGCCTTAACTGCATCGTACTCTTGAACGGAATCAAGATCCCATGTACCGATGTCAGTAAGGGATGTCGCTTCCTCCTTAACTTTTTCAACGGCTTTGGGGTTCGCCAGCATTTCTGCTCTAGAGAGTAACTTAGTTACCATGGCATGAACCCTACCGTTATGTTTAGGGTCTTCAGGAATATCAAATGCAGTTCGAACGAGGGTTTCTAGCTCCATCAGGCTTTCCGCCATCTGGCTTGCAACTTCATCGGTTTCGACGGCTAATGCAAATGCATCGGCTCCCGCAAGTGCGGAAATGTGTTTTAAGGATTGCTCTTTCACCCTGTGCTCCTCATCCCGCGCCTGAGAGGCAGCGGCTGGGACTACGCATGGCATGGCTGGTGCTGGAGCTAGATTAACCTTCTGCGGGTATAAAGCTCTGGCTATTTCGCATACCATGTGTGGAGGGTAAAAGGCGGTCTTTGCAGTCTGAGACCCAACTGCGTGATCATGTTCGTGTGGGGAATGCGTGCACCTATGCTGCGAAAATGCATCTACGATGCGTTGGCTTTGTGGTCATGAGCCTCCATGTCTTCTTAATAGGTCTATCCTTAGTGGACTTAACTCCTACTGCACAACCATCAAACTCCACCTGTTGGAATTCTGGATGTGACTCAAAGAAGGTCTGGACGTCGTGACGGCTCCAACTCTCGCAGCCCTTTGGCCATTCAAAGGTTACAGTCCCCCCCCCTGCTAAGGACAATCCCTGCGCTTCTCTCGAACTCAGCAAAGAGTCGCTTGGATTCACGAATCTGCTGTGCATGGACACGGGCGAATTGTGCACCTCCTTTGGACCTGTTGACCCTTTGCCATGGGGAACCTGACGTACAGGGTATTGATGCCCACAGGTCTGGCACCTCCTCGCAGGTCTCCAAGTGGTTATGGAGCTGGTCCTGCATGTCGGTGTTGGTCAGGTCGAGGTGTTCCTTGCTTAGGGGTACATGTGGAATCCCGAGCTCTAAAAATGTTTTGTGCATTTGAGAATCGGGGGCACACGCAAACTCGAACATGCAGCGGTTGAACTTGGGTGGTCTCTTTTTACCTCTACTTCTCTTTTTCTTAACTTGACCTACTTGTGAGGCTTCGGTTATTGTTGGCATTCCAAACACAGGCACTCCACTTTGGGGTCTAGTATAGACTAGTTGGGTCCTATATGTGGTGTGCGGGGTTATCGAAAGGCCGGCTATCACTGTCGGTGTAGCACTGGCTTCCTCTGGCTCCTCCGGGGTAGGGTCCGCCGGAGGTGGAGGAGGCGGGTCTTCCGGGGCTACAGGAGGGATCTCCTCAACAGTGATCCCCTCCCTTCGCTTAGCCAAAAGATCGGCCTTTTCCTCTTCAACAAGGCGTGCAAA